AAAGATTGCATGGCACAATTCGAAAAGACAAGGGAGTTTCTCCCGATATCCCAGCCAACAATTTCCCAAATAAAATTGGTTACTTGTTTCAATGGGACATTGTTGTGTGGAACTTGGCTGCCGCATTTACCCACAAATTACAGTCACTCCGCTTTACAATATATCCTGTAAAGTGCTTCGGGACGCTCACCTGACATGGAAGGCACTATACCAGATATAAGAATTATCAGTGCTGAGTGCCATTGGCTGCCGCATTTCACCCACAAAATACATAGTCAATCCACTTTACAGTATATCCTGTGAAGCGCTTTAAGACATCTCAATAGAGTGATAAGGTGCTATATCAAATGCAAGGATTATTATTAATTTTCCTAACTAACTTTCTGTTCAGTAAAAATCTATTCTTAAAAATGGATATTCTGTTCTCAAACTATAATCTGTATATTTCTATTAAATGTAATTTTGTAACAGTTGGATGGAGGCTGGTAAATATCCTGCACCTTAAAACATGCCAAAGGGGAAGCTGAAAGAGATCTAGGAGTGCTAATTGTCTTGTCGCTCACTATGTCAAAACAATGGTGAAGCAGCAATAAACAAGGAAAACAGGATCTGAGTTATGCAGTATTGCTAAATTAGTTGAGTTTAGATCCCCAGACAGTGTTCTGGTCAGACCCCAACTTGAATACGGCATACAGTTTTTATCATAAGGGGGAAATAAGGGAACTGCCAGGCCATAGAGGCATGGGGAGCAGAGGGAATGATCCCCAGTGATAGATTATTAAACTATGAGCAACAATTAGGCAAACTGGGGGCTCTTCAGGCTTAAGAACATAAGAAATAGGAGCAGGAGTGGTCCATTTGGCCCCTCGAGCGTGTCCCGCCATTTAATAAGATCATGGCTGATTTTCTTACCTAATTCCATTTACCCGCCCTATCCCCATATCCCTTAATCCCTTTAGTTTTTAAAAATATATCGATCTCAGTCTTGAATATGTTCAATGACTGAGCATCCACAGCCTTCTGGGGTAGAGAATTCCATAAATTCACTACCCTCTGAGCGAAGAAATGTTTTCTCAATTCAGTTCTAAAGGGCTGACCTTTAATCCTGAGACTATGACCCCTAGGTTTAGAATCTCCAACCAGGGGAAACAGTCTCACGATATGTACCCTGTCAAGATCCTTAAGAATCTTATAGTCTTGAGAGAATGCAATTCAGTGGGGGGGCCTCATAGAGATGTATACAATTTTAAATGGGACTAAAAAAGTAAACCCAGGTCAAACCAGATTGTATAATTTAGAATATAACAAGACAGTAAAAAAGAACATATTTATAGTCCTAAAGGGCAATTTCAAGACAGATGCCAGGAAGTATTTCTTTCCTCAGAGAGTAATCACCAACTGGAACAGGTTGCCAGGAAAGGTGGTAGAGGCCAGGACATTGGATTAATTTATAAAGCAGCTTGATGCTGTGATGGGGCGATGTTAGGACGGGTGTTCTGGAACGATGAGAATGGAGGGGCCAAAGGGCCTTCTTCATCCGAACCAATCTTGTGATCTTGTGAAACATACAGACAAGTGGTCAAGATTCTGGTTGTTACTAATTGACTGTTAAATATGGTGATAGGGCTGAGCTGATACAGTTGTCTCTGTTAATCCTTCTCACAGACTGTAGGGGTCACTTGATGAAATCCATGGAAGGGTTTGAAAATCCATCAGGTTAGTAATACCTACCTAACACCATCAGCAAGACCTCCTTGCTTAAAGAGACTATAATGTGCATAAACAAAGATCTGAATTTCACCAGGTTTCAATCTCAAGTTTGGAAGCGTGAAATCAAATGTCAGAAGAGTCTTTTTCATCCAAACCTCTCTTGTGATCTTTCGAAATATGTTTAAAAATCTCATGACATTATTCAAAAGAAGTGACTTTCTCCTGGGATCCCGGTGACTAGATACAAACTATTTTTAAAAAATCCTTACATTTGATACAACTCTTTCCCATCAGGAGATCCTCTCAAAACACTTCACAGGATTTTATTGTAAAATGACAGTATTTTGTAGACGAACACAAAGGCCAATTTGTACATAGCAGTATCCCACAAACAATCAAGAAATAAATGACCAGTTTATTAATTTGGGGGCTGTTTGTATGATCTTGTGGTGTGCAAAATAACTGCTATGCTTGTCTACAAAAACAGTCAACAATCCTGACATCAAGCTGTAATTTTAAATTGTGCAGCAATGTTTGTTACTATAACACATGCTTTACTCTTTTGTGTCCAGAAACTCAAGGCTGCTCTCAATGCGCACAAAGACAGATGCAGGTGGAATTATACTTTTGTTATCTAATTGCTATTTTGTTCTATCTGCAGGGGGGAAGACTCTTTTGACTTTATTGCTGAACTTAAGATGTCCTCTGCTTTCTTTTCAATTCCTTACTCCTCTTGAACTTGACGCTAACTTGACCTTCCCTTCCTCCAGATGAGGAAGGCGGAGATGTCACTTTCTTTTCTCTCAATGTGCTTACAGATGCGCAGCAGAAGCCGAAGAGCCTTCTCCCTTCTAGAAGGGAATTAAGAGAACTTGGTATTTGGGCTAACAGTATTCCTTTCTGACAAGCTGCACTGCGGTTTCTTTGAATATGTTCTGGCTCTTTTCAAGCAATGGATCCTCAAAGTGTCAACTCTGTGAAATGTTTTTAAAAGATCCATAATCAAAGCAGGCTATGAAGCCTCCCTCTGTTTTCACTTCTCATCAGGAGACTAAGCACCTGCTGTTAGCTGAGAGATAATGTGATAAACGTTATTCAACCAACAACCAAGTGGGGAACATTCAGATGGGAGATTGGATCTCCACCAGATTTTCCAGATGTTGTTAAATGTGACTGTCTCTAAGAAAATGTGGCGGCACCATTGACAACAACATTACTGCTTTGGCCACAAAGGAGATCATCTGTAAAGGAAATGTTTAGCTACAGTGAGCAAAACCTGTCTCAACAGTTTGGACTCACTGCCTTATAAGCTTTCAAGTGGAAAACAACCTTCTCATACTTTGGAACTGTGGCTGCAGCTGGTGAGTCAAGAACTGCTGAGCTGAAAGAAACTCGGGTCTCAGTTCAAAGCTGAGGTAAGTGCGCAATGAACCTTGTAAAAGATCACCAATTTAACACACAATCAGAGTTAAAACCAAATGCATGCTAAGAAAATGCATGGTAACAAAAGAGTTAAATAGAGTCTGTGTAAGCAAATCTTGCCTTACTTTTCAATTTAGTGCACATTACAGCTGTAACTCAAGAGGAAACTGCCCCCCAAGTGCATATATATGCATGCATACACACACTGATTCAATTAAAGTGCATTTATACAATGATTCAGATATATCCAACAATATATCAGTGTAAACATGGTATGGATTTAGCACACTTTTAAAGTTTGAAACTTGAAGCCTGCCAAATAAGGATGTAAGAATGAACATAGAAAGTGCATCCATCTTAATCCAGGGTGATGCAAATGATCTGGTGGTTTGACATTAATATTGGTAGTATAACACTTGTCTCACTGACCTTTGTGATTTTTGAGCTTTTTTTAATAGGAAGTTTTAAATCACACTGGGGGTTTATTCTTATCGTAGATCTGTCGACTTGAGCCAAGTGTTTTTCTGCTTCATTTGGTAAGCTAAATCAATTGGTCTCTGTGTGCATATGAATAAATGTAGTGACATTTAAAAGCATTATTTAATTCCATATTTGCATTGTCTTGGTACTTATTTATGTTTGTAATGTCAAATTGCATTCCATTTATTTATAAGTGGACCTTAGCAGAATAGTGCTAAACCNAAAACAATAAATTTGCTACGTGCAAAGCACCAAACAGAACCCCCCCACCCCACTCCCTCCCCACCAAGTTGTACACATCATGTTGTGCACAATAGTCATAATAAAGTGCTTCACTGGATTTTATTGTAAAGTGTACTCACTGTATTTTGTAGGCGAGCGCGGCAGTCAATGGGTCCACAGCAATGTCCCACAATATTGTCTCACAAACAGCTAGAGTGATTAAAATAGGTGTGGCCTTTACCATATGACATAAGCACTCCATTCATCTGTTTCAAAACCAAACACAATTATTATGCCCCTAAATAAAATTATTATTCAAACTAATTTATCTTGAAATTGCAAAATATTAAGAAGGCGGATGGGGGGGAAACAAAGTAGATAGTGAAAAGACAGCAACAGATGTCCTCAAACTGCTGGAAACCAGGAGGTGGGAAACATAGAGAAATAATACCACTAAAGGTGCTCTGGATAAAAGATTTATTATTCTCATAATTCTTGCTATAAACCACCTCCAGTAATACTCAGAATCAAAAGTCCTTTGATATGCACAAGCCATGTTGGGTGTAGAAATTCAACCTGGGTGTGGATTTATTAATATAACATCTCAGAACATTCCAAATTTGACAAATTCTTAAACACAGCTAGAATTTTGAAACCGGCAAGTTTTCTACAAGTACTTTTAAGAACCACAAATACAGACTTCAAAGTTCAGCCTGAATTCAGCAATTTGCAAAATTCAGAATGTTCTGAAATGCTACGTTAATGGAGTAAATGTAGATCCAGGTGGAATTTCTCCCCCAGCAGGCGTGCAGACCACAGCCTGTAAAAGTATTATGTTCTGTTTTTACCAGCAACACTAGTCGGCGCCAAGACACCAGTGAAAAGGAAATGCAGCACCATATATTGTGGACAGACCTGAATTAGTTTATATTTTAGTTGACTTTTAATACAATTCTAAAACATCTTTGATAAAGTGCATCAACAGGGAGCACCAATTTTCATTCCACTCAGATGAGCAAAGACCAAACATTTGTAATAACAACTTCTTGAATTACAAAATGTGGGGAACGTAAGCCTAATGCAGAACTCTGTCTCCTCCCTTAAATCTTTTCCACCTCCCATTATTTCACAGTTTCCTTTCCAGGAAGACTTTTTGAATTGGGAACAGGATCATTGTAGTCAGAACACTGGCACAATGTGGGTGTAGGATTTTACATTGATAACTTAAATGACAACCCATGTCAGTTTACTTGTACTTGATGAAAATGTGAAAATGGTCACAACCAAGGGACTGTGAATCAATCCATTTCAATGACACAACACACATTTGACTGCTCCCACAAGGACAAAAATACAAGTATACTTTAACAGAAAGGTAAGTCTTTTTTTAAACATTGCAATGGACAGTGATTTGTTTTATATAAGCTTGGTAGAGTAAACGTCTACATTTTGATTATTGCTTGAAATCTATGCATATCCATAATAAAAAAGATTAAGATTCATAAAAATGTTACGCTTAAAAGGAACTGTAATAATAATCATTGCATCTGATATAGCACTTTTCACATCTTCTAGACGTCTCAAAGCGCTTCACAGAATAGACTGTCAAGTTAATTGACTGTATATTTGTGGACAAAATGCGGCAGCCAATTGCACACAGCAGTGTCCCACAAACAGTCGTGGATTGAAATCACCAAATTTTTTTTGAGAGATTATTATTAGGCGTGTAGAGTAAGGAAACTTGCCCAAGGTTTTGCCCTGCCGGGAATCGAACCCAGGTCTCTCGCTTGCAAAGTGAGTGCTCTAACCACTGAGCTACAGGACTCCGTAATCTAAGTAATCTAAGATTCTTGTTTTGAAAATTCAAATACATGCTCTGAGTTTTCCCTGATGAGTCAGTGAGTGAATGTGGTACGTATTGTGGTTCTGAGACATTTACACAAGGTGGTTCTTGGCTCAATCACTGCTCGGTGCTGATCACCTCGCTTTCCTTCTGCTGATTGCTATCCAGTGACCTCTGTTAGAAAGTGTGTGTGGTTTGTGTTTCTGTGTATGTATATGAGTTTTGTGTGTGTGTGGGGGGGAGGGGGAGGGGATATGTGTGCGAACAAACCTCAGGTGTGATGACAGCTAACATGCCATTCAAAATCTAGCCTCACAAATGAAGAATGGTTACTTGGACAAGGTAACAGAGGACCATTATTGCCTGTGAAGCTGAAGCCCAGCACAATCTTCAGGAGAAAGGAAAAAGACAACAACAAAATAAAACTCCTACTTGCTGCATTTCACAACATAGGATGAGTGTTTTGTTCCCAGGGGTGGGTGAAATTGCTTTGGGTTTGCCAATGTTAAAGATAACAACGATTCCCACAGTCTAGCAAACTTTTTTAAAACACTGGAGAGGATAGATGAGATTTCACATTGTGGTGCTTGGGAAATTGGGGAGAATCTTCCCAATGCCTCAGCCAACCTGGCAGAGGAATCACATGCATTCTTTTCCATTGGACCATTTGGGATCAGAAGCCAAGGTCTCTAGAGTACCAGGGACTGAGCCTTCTCCACATACATATTACATCATTAAAAACAAGTTAGACTAAGACAAACATGTCACTTTGCTGCTGTGGCTTCAACATCTGGTTGCTTATCATGTCGGAGGTAAATTAATGATGGGAGGATAAAATAACCAAATGCCAGTGCAGTGAGACATACAGCAGATTGTTAAATATCTGCAAATGCATGCATGGAATGTGGGGAAATGCCAATACGCATGTCAAGGAAGGTGTAAAGACCATTTGGCAAATTCATCCATCAGTCAGGAGCTCAAGGAATATGAATTGGATTTGTTTTATTTCAACTTGACCCAAAATATCTTTCTGGGCTTTAGTTCAATGGTTTTCACTCCCTGTGTTCAGTAGCCTCTCTCATGAATTACCATTACCTGGATGAACTAAAATGACAGCACAGAATATGTCCTTTCAATGGTAAGAATAATTTGTTTTCTTTAAATTTAATTCTAAAGATTAATGACTAATTATTTTTTAAATTTTATTTTTGTGGATTAAATTTTAGCAGCATATCCATTAATTGATGAGCATTAATACAATCAGCAATAATATTCATAAGTGATACACTACAATATGCAGTGTTATTGGAAGGGTGGAGAAGAGCTGGTACATTGCTGGTGCATTGTGTCAGGGACTGGTAGAACACACAGTTGTGCCAATTCCTCACATGGTAAGCTCTTTACCTCAGCTGCTAAAGAAGATCATGAATGGGGGCCAAGATCGTCCCTACAGGGAGCAAAGGAAAATCAGATGGTGAGTCAACCGAGGATAGTCTTTCGTGCTTCTCAGCAGCTAGCTCCAAAGCAGTATTGCTACAAGCCTGGGAACAGGTCAATTGGCTGCTTTCTCAGCCAGAGAACATTTGGTCTAAAGCAGAGGGAGACTGTACCAATAACCCCTTCTGACAGAAAAAAATATACCATTTTGCATGAGAAGTTAATATCATGGAAAACTATGGAAAATTATTAAATTCATAATTTAGAAGCCAGTTCACTTTAAGAAAGTCGGCTTCTGAATTATGACTGAATTTAAGAATTTTCCACAATTCTGCACGATCTTACATGTTAAGGCAAAATGGTCTTAGGGGCTAAGGTTAGATGAAATTTCAGGCCCTTTTTTAAAAATCTTTCATTTGCTATTTCATTACATTTAAGAATCATGACATCCTCAGATTTTTTACTTCAATTCCCAATCAAAGATAATTAATGACGATTGATGGCCTAGAGTTCACTCTATACATAAATTCATCGAAAGTATAGTTCAGAAACAGGCCATTCGGCCCATCCAGTCTGGTTAGTACCAACACTCCACCCGAGTTCCCTTCCTAGATCTTATTCTTAATCATATATTTTAGCCCTTTCCCCAAACCTGAACTTTATACTCTCTCAACCATATGTCCAGTTTTTTTTTGAATGTCTACATGGTTGCCTCCCCAACAACTGACTATGGCAGAAAATTCCACACTCCAATAACTCCGTGTGTGAAAATGTTCCTCCTATTCTACATTCTGCATCTTCCAGTTATAATTTTAAAACTATACCCTCTAGAATAGGGGAACATTTTCACACACAGACTCATTGGCGTGTCCTATCTAAGCTTCTCATCATCTTATAAACCACTATCATATCCCCTCTCAGTCTTCTTGCTCTAAAGAAAAAAGCCCTCGTCTATCAAGTCTTTCCCTTTAACTGTATTTTCTATTTCCAGAGAACATTCTGCTAGGTATATAGCTGATGGATTATTGAGGTAATGGATGTGAATAAAGCTGCTCATTTTCTTCAATCTGCCTAACTAACCTGCATTTTTCTCAGGTGAAATCCTCAGTCTTCAAAATAAATGGAGACCAAAGATCTGCCTCTCATTCCTAATGAGCTCCTTGAGAATGATTCAATGTACGAAGGATCACTCGATGGGTTTAATGGAAGGAATCTCTCAAAACTCAATCTCTGTGAAGAAAGTATGTATGTTTTACAGTGGAAGCGATCCACATTTTGTAGCACAAAATTGGCTGTAAACAATTAATTGTGAGTAATGAAAGGTTAACTGATTCTCATTTGCAATCTCCACAAGATGTTATAATTGTGTTCAGTGCTACAGTAAGTTTGCTAAATGATTGCACCCTTCTTCCTAAAATGTGGTTAATTGAAAAACATGTATAAATTTACATTTTAGTGAATTTTCTGTACTGCTCTAAACTGTTTTATTAGTAATGAATGGAGGCACAGTGCATGGTTTACAGTGACCAAAATTGCAATTTTAGCACCCATTTATTTTGCTCCAGAATAATTTTTTATGAGCAAAAAAATAAAAGCATGGACCTCCAGGAATCTCATAAAGGATGGAGCGAATTTAATTTCCACCTGAGGTGTTCTAAATGAGCTATTAATATGCAACATAATACTGTTACAGATCTTTTTTGGTGCCTCCGGAGCAGGGAGGTACTATGCTGAACCAGTGCAATGATGTAATACAACATTGGCTTCAGGAACTCTAGGCTAAGAAAGAATAAACAGCGAGTGTTCCTACTCACAATCGCTATTCTTGACCCTGACTGGAAAGGGTGACTTTAAGATCAGACTTGCAGTGATGCCTTTTTGAAAATTCACGTCTGCAGCTTTCTCTGATTTGCACTTGACCTTCAGATAAGACGTTAAACCGAGGCCCTTGATCAGGTGGGCATTAAAGATCCCATGGCATGATTTGAGAAGAAAAAGGAGTTTCTCCCAATGTCCTGGGCAATAATCCAACAGATAAAATTAGTATCTCAAAGCACTTTACACTTATGCATGTTGTGGGACATTTCTGTGTGTAAATTGACTGCTGTATTCACCTACAAAACATAGTCACTACATTTTACAGTACATCCTGTGCAGCACTTTAAGATAACCTCTGACAAGAAAGGCAATATAACAAATGCAAGGATTATTGTTTTGTTATTGTTATTGACATCTAATTGACGGGTCAGTCATCACTGTTGTATGCCTAATAATATTAATAAATAAGGAATAAATACAGAGAAATTCTGTCTGGGTCTAGATTTACTCTATTAATGAAGCAATTTAAAATTTCTAGAATTTGGCAAATTCTAGACATTCTAAATTGCTCTGTAATTAGAGTAAATCTGACCCAGATGGAATTTCTACCCAGATATTTACTGTGATTGAGAACATTTTCTTGTGCTAATTAGGAAACACTTTACTCCACTATTATTTTTCTTCAAGCATTTGTCCAATTCACTTTTAAATGCTGATAATGAACACATCTTAAACAGTTATTTGTGATAAGGCATTCCAGTTTTTAAGAACTCTTTATGGGGAAACAAATCTATGGGTCCGAAATTCAAGTTGTAGCTTGTAAGATCATTTTGTCTTAAAATTTAAGATGGCATAAAAATGTTTAAATCCAGTCTTGATTTAGAAGACAATTTTCCACAAGAAAAATTCCCCAAATCTCTGCAATCTTGAATTTTAAGTCAAAATTATCCTACAGCCTGAGATTGGGTAGATTTGGGGCCATATAGCATGTGATGGCTTCCCAGATTATTTGTTTCACCTCACTTGGATTCTGATAGATGTGACACAATGAATGGGCTTTATTCTTGTAAATCCAATTCATTGTGTAAAGCCGTGTTACTCCGTAATCTTTTGTCAAGGGTCAAAATTGTAAGCACTGACTTGCTCAAGGCTACTTTCAGGAATGCTTCAACACCCAGCATTACAGAATGATGTGTGTTTGTTGTTTGCGCAATGAACTCATTGGCCTTTTTTTCTGACTTGGGTTTGGGTTTCATAATTGGGCAGCACATAGTTCTTTAAATTAGAGAAGGAAATAAACCTTCAGTGGTAAAATTTAAAATGGAAAAGAAAAACAGAGAACATAATATGGAGGTACATTAAAAGTCGTAGCATGGGCAGATAAGGCCATAAAAAACACAATCCTTAGATTTATATCTAGAGGGATTGAATGCAAAAACAAAGAGGCAATGTTGAATTTATACAAGTCAGATCACAGTTAAAGTATTGTATACAGCTTTAGGCACCCATTATAGAAAGCATATAAAAACAAAAAAAGTACACCATATATTCACTAGGATGCTACCAGGGATGAGTTTTATTTTTACACAGAGACGTGAAAAGTTAAGGCTTTTTTAACAAGAGCTGAAAAGGTTCAGGTCCTGATCAAGGATTAAGGTTACAATAATACTGAATAAGGTGCTCAGCCAGCCATGTAAAGTACTATGACACGAAACGTGCTGAATAAATGTAACTAGTATTTTATTGTCATATTTGAATTTGGTATAGCACCTTATCATGTTATTGAAATGTCTCAAAGCACTTCACAGGATTTACTGTAAAATCTAGTGACTATGTATTTGTGGATGAATGTGGCAGCTAATTTGTAAATATAGTGTCCCACAAACAACCATGAGATAAATGATCAGTTTTATCTGGAGGACTATTGGTTAGGACACCAAGACACCCCTTATCTTTTTGAATAGTGCCATGGAATCTTTAGCATCCACCTGAACAGGACCTTGGTTTAACATGTCATTTGAAGGACGGCATTTCTGACAATGCTATGGTTCTCCAGTACTGTATTGCAGTGTCAACCTAGATTGGGAGCTCAAAATCTTGACATGAGGCATGGACCCACAATCTTCTGACTCAGAAGCTGCAAACTGAGCCAGGCTGATACCAGGAGGGTGATGAAGGGTTAGGCTAAAGTAAACATCAATATATTATTTCCATTTTTGATGAATGTCTTCTACAAAAGACAGAAACCATCAATTATTTAAAAAATATAATAATAATCCCTGCATTTGATTATTGCACCATTCACGTCTGGCAGATGTCTTTTCATGTCAGGCCGATTCGAAGCATTCACATACCTCACTGAGAGCTCAAACAAAAGGGGTTGGGGTGCGAGGGAGGTGGGGGGAGAAGGATCTTATCTCCCTGTTCAGGTGGATGTAAAAGATCACTTCACGGGATTTATTGTAAAGTGTAGAGACTGTGTTTATGTAGGTGAATGTGGCAGCCAATTTGCATGTAGCAATGTATCACAAACAGCAATAAAATTAATGATCAACAACAACTTGCATTTATATAGCGCCCTTCATACCGGACAGTGTCTTGGAGCACTTAACATAACATAACATGTAGGAGCGGGAGTAGACCATTCGGCCCTTCGAGCCTGCCCCACCATTCAATCATGGCTGATCTTCTAATCTAACTCCAGCTAATAACCTAACCCTGCCTTATCCCTATCCTTTAATCCCTTTTGCAATAAGAGATATATCTATCTCAGTCTTGAATATGTTCAAGGACTGAGCGTCAACAGCCCTTTGGGGTAGCGAGTTCCTTTGAGTGAAGAAGTTCTTCCTCAACTCAGTGCGAAAGGGCTGGCCTCTGATTTTAAGGTTGTAACCCCTGGTTTTAGTTTCTCCAACCAGGGGAAACAATCTCCCACTATCTCCTCTATCATGCCCTATGATGATCTTATAGGTTTTTATAAGATCCCCTCTAATTCTTCTATATTCTGGAGAATATAGGCCCAAATTGGTCAGCCTATCCTCATAACTCATCCCCTTCATCCCTGGTACTAACCTAGTAAATCTACGCTGCACCTCCTCTAAGGCAAGTACGTCCTTCCTTAAATAAGGAGACCAAAACTGCACACAGTATTCCAGGTGTGGTCTCACCAGGGCCCTATACAGTTGCAAGACTTCCCTACTCTTATACTCTAATCCTTTCATAATGAATGCTAACATACCGTTCGCCTTCCTAATTGTTTGCTGCACCTGCAAACTAACTTTCTGTGATTGGTGTACAAGGACACCCAAGTCCCTCTGGACGCTAACACATTCCAATGTCTACCCTTCTAAAAAATAACCCGCTCTACTATTTTGCTACCTAAGTGGATGACTTCGCACTTCCCTACATTATACTTCATCTGCCACCTACCTGCCCAATCACCTAACCTATCTATGTTGTGCTGCATTTTTTTAATGTCATCCTCTGTGTTGACACTTCCTCCAAGTTTTGTGTCATCCGCGAATTTAGATATATTAATATTAGATATTTAGGTATTTTAACAGTGGCGGAGCCTGATGCCAAGCCGGGGGGAGGGGGAAGGTGACAGTAGACACGGAAGAAGACGAAGGTCTTCAAGCGTGATCTGAAAATGGGGAGAGAGGGGCCAAGGTGAAGGGATTGAGGGAGAGAGGTCAATTTTGGCTGGAGGTTTGTTGACTAGGAAGCTGGGAAATACTTCCTGCTTTTTTCAAATAGTGTCATGTGATTTTTTACATCCACCTGAACACGGAGATAAGATCCTTCTCCCCCCACCTCCCCCCACCAACCCCTTTTGGTTGGGCTCCCAACAAGGTGTGTGAATGCTTTGAATCATCCTGACATGAAAAGCATTGTATAAATGTAATATTGTTGCTGTTGTATGACAAACATCAAGACTTTTGAAATCCACACATGGCGACACTGAATTACTACTATCTGATTAATTGTATTTTTTTGTATTTCACAATAGAATTCAGTGATGCAATATCCCACACTATAAGCCTTGGTTTCTCAATAATAAAGTACTGTGTTGCAGGGACCAGGAGCTCACAGTCTTAGTACCATTGCTATAGTTGTTGTTTCCTATTATTGAGTTCAGTTTGCTTCAAGCTTGTTTAGAGTTTATAGATTTAGATGTTTAATTCATGTCCTACAATGGTGGATTTCAAGCATGCTTTTCACATTGTAAATGGGTCTGAGCTTTATTGTTAGCTAACATGTTCCATGCAGTTTCAGTTGAAATGAACTTATGGCAAAAGGTCAAAGTCTAACCCTCTAACTTTTAATTCCATTTGTTAAGGACCACCCGGAAGGCGAGGGAAGCCAAGCACCTTTCGCCACCACTGGAATTCAATGGCAGGAATCAAATGTGCCGTAATCATCCTCTATCTGCTCATGTTCCTCGTCTGTATTACAACTTTCATCATCGCAGGTAACCTGCCTATTTATTCAGAAGAATCATTTTCTCTGTGGGAGGGGAGTGGGAAGTACAATACAATTTACATTGATATTCTGCCTTTCACATTGGGAGGATGTCTCAAAGCGCTTTACACAGCTGGTTGGGCACCCAAGCTGGGGACGTGGGGGTGTCGAGAGGATTTTGTCTCCCTTTTCAGGTTGAATCAGGAGATGCAGCTGAAGAGGGTGAGAAGGGGAAAGAGAGATCAAAGAGGTAAGTCTTGAGGTGGGCTTTGAAAGTAGGGGTGAGTCAGAGGATCTCCCAGATGGAATTCCAGATAGCGGTGCAGAAAGCAAATATAGGATAACTATACAAACTGAACTTAATGTATAATACAAAAAAAAATTAACTTTCACATTCAACAAAATTACATTAAAAAAGACAGCTTCCTTGGTGGCCTAGATGGGTAAATAATAATAATCCTTGCATTTGATATAGCAGCATGTCATGTCTTTGAGACTTCTCAAAGCGCTTCACAGAACATACTGTAAAGTAAATTGACTGTTCAGATCCAGCTATAAAGAGTTAGAAGGTTAAAGGTTTGTGTCCTGATCTCAGTTGGGGCAGAATTTGGAGTGCTATATGGGTTCTTGTACTCATGACTGTCTGTGGGTCAATCACTACAATTTACAGTGTATCTTATGAAGTGCTTTGAGATGTCCTATTGCTATGAAAGGCACCATATGAAATGCAAGGATTATTATTATTACTACAATTGACCTGAGCACACCTGGCCTGGAGAAAGGAAATGAGCCAGGTTTCCCACTCATAATCATTATTTAATGACTCCTGTTGAATATGTGCGTCTGTGTGTGTGAGTGTGTTCATATGTGTGGATATTGGATAAACACAGGATCAGTGTGGGTTGTAATAACCCATGGTTGAATGGTCTGCTGACTCTCATTGTCTAGGACCAACAGCTTTTTGAACAAGGAGCTGCAGATGTATGTGGAACCACACCTCAGCAAAGCTTACCTTCAACAACAGCAACTTTTCACTTGTGTAGTACTTCTGATGTTGAGTCGCACAACCAAGCTGGGGGAAGAGCTGGGAGGAAGAGAGCCAAAAGCACCGACAAAATAAGGCAGATTTTGAAGGTGAAGATGGAGGGGGTGAGGTGGAGAGACTCAATGATGGAGGGGGTGAAGTGGAGAGCCTCAGTGATGGAGGGGGTGAGGTGAAGAGACTCAGTGATGGATGGGGTGAGGTGGAGAGACTCAGTGATGGAGAGGGTCAGGTGGAGAAACTCAGTGATGGAGTTCCAGAAATCAGAGGCAGAATGGCTGAAAGCTTGTCTGTGGATGGTTGGTCGGGGTGGATGGGGAACATGAAGCAGGTCACTGTTTGATAAGCGGAGGGATCATAAGAGGTCGTAGGCATAGGGCAGGCTATTGGAGGCAATTGAAAGTGACGACAAGGATCTTGAATCTGATGTGTTGGGGGATGGCGAGTTAGTGGAGCCAAGTGAGGATGGGAAGATGGATCCGTGGAGCGTGATAATAATCCTTACATTTGATATAGCCCTTTTTACATCTTCTAGACGTCTCAAAACGCTTCAAAGAATATACTGTAAAGTGAATTGACTGTATTTTTGTGGGTGAAACGCGGCAGCCAATTGCACACAGCAGTGTCCCACAAACAGTCGTGGATTGAGTGATCAAATTGTTATTGTTTTCTTTATTTTTCTTGAGGGATTATTATCAGGCGTGTGGAGTAAGGAAACTTGCTCATGGTTTCACCCTGCCGGGAATCGAATCCAGGTCTCTTGCTTGCGAGGCGAGTGCTCTAACCACTGAGCGACAGGACCCCTCAATTTCTCCCCCCACCAGGAGCTGTGGTGCAGGAAAGGACAGGCCTATACAGTTCTGGGTGGTCTGTAACTTATGTAGAGAGGAGCTGGGGAATTTAGTGAGCAGACCATTAGAATAGTTGATTCTGCAGATGATGAAGTATGAATGGGCGCCTAAGGTCTCAGCAGGCCCTGGTGGGGGGAGAAATTGTGGAGGAGGTGGGAGACAATGCAGAGGTGAAAGAAAGCAGAATAAGTGAAAGTAAGTCTCCCAGATAGTTGGGAGACAGTCGGACTTAATACAAAGTATCCCAGGTTTCCATGGCAGAATGATGAGGTGAACATGAAAAATTGCAACCCTAAGAAAAGAAGGTAGAAAATGAGAGAAATTGACAAATAATAAAAAATGAGAAGGGAAAGAGTTAAGCACACAAGTCAAAGCTGTGGAAACTGACAGTTCAATCACATCTGGTACCGTTTGTATCAGCTCAGCTCAATGTCAACTGTTATGCACGTACAGAGCAAACAAATAAGCTGAACACACATTATAACAGAAGACACTTAAAAACAGGATACCCGCTATCTCGATGATGGAGCATCTGTTAGCTGTCATTTATTCAGCATGTTGTATTTCTAGCACAGAGTCAGTTCAAGGAGATATTCTGCAGTTTTGAGGCTTTCTTCTGTTCCTCCTGATAAACCACTCAGCTTATCGTGCAGGGGCCCTGCCAGCAGCAACAGGTTCAAAACAGCATCCACAAATCAAACTGGCTCACGCTTTCCTGCCTGCTGAGTTTAAAACACATGTGTACAATACAATTTTTCATTTATGTAGTGCCTTTCACGTTGGGAGGATGTCTCAAAGCACTTTATGAGGCTGGATGGGCATCCAATCCGATACTCTAAAACCGCAGACCTAAAAAGCAGCCGCAGCACTGGCAAACAGCAGTAAAAGCCTTCCAATGCCCTGGATAGGAAGGAGTAGCAGGATGTGGAGTGGTCTGGCCTGCTTTATTGACCACACTTGCTTCTTTATTGACCACATTGCTAATGGCAGTTCAGTCAGTCTGGCAGGACTTAGATGGTGAGACCGGCAGGGATTCTTCCAAACTCAGAGGCCCCCAAGCCTTGCCTCTTGTGAACCTGTATCTAATGTTTTCTGGAATTAAGTAAGCAAGGTGCATCCTTCTGGGAAGAGGGTTCAATCCATTCTAGACACAGAGACATTTCCAGGCAAATATGACATGCATATGTGGAACTCTCAAACTAGTTTGAATACACCAAAACGTGGCACGATGTTAAATCCCCAGCTGACCAAACAAATAATCATCACCCAGTGGAAACAAACTGATGGGTTCAAATTCTATTATATAATATAATTATAGTAATCCTTGCATTTGATATATAGCCTTATCACGAAATTGAAGCATCTCAAAGCACTTTGAGGATATACTGCAGTGATGTATTTGTGCATCACTGGCTAAGAAAAAGGAAGGAATCTCAGAAGAGAGATAATAATAATCCTTGCATTTGATATAGTGCCTTATCATGTTATTGTTATTGCTGCCAAATGCTGGGTTATGTCACTGTGTATAAACTATTGTTACCGAAGGGAGAGCAGGCCCACTGCTGTTACTACAATGGATTATGATGACCTCTCACAGCAAACAAAACCATAGAGTAGAGAATCATACACATTCAAAAGAGCTTATTGTATTCCCCTCAGTTCTTTCCACTAAATAATAATAATAATCCTTGCATTTGACAGAGTGTTTTTCATGTCTTCTAGACGTCTCAATCCGTTTCGCTGACAAAATATGTAGTCAATTCACTTTACAGTATATTCTGTGAAGTGAATTGACTACATATTTTGTCGGCGAAACGGATTTTATAAAACTCGTGTTTTTAGCATTTGTGATCTTACCGTGACAAATGAAGGGCGAGATAGTAAAGCCACACATTAAGAGCATCAGAGAGGCATTGCAGCCACATACAACTTGTGCAGATATAAACAGTGTCATTGTATTCTTTACAGGTCAGGCAGCATCTATGGAGAAATGAAAGTGAGTCAAAGTTTTGGGTCCATGACCCTTCGTCAGAACTGGGGCATGTTGGAAGCGAGAGGCTTTTAAGGACTAACAGGGCAGGGCAAGGAAGGCAAAAGAGAAAATGGGGTAGAGGACAGGGGAGGATGGGTTAAAGAGGTGTTAATAATCAAAACAAAGGGGGAGGGTTGCAAAAAAAAGGGAAAAGTGGTGTTAATAATGCAAACCAAAGGGGTTGAATTGCAACAAAACAGGCAGACCAGAGAGAGAAAACGTCCAACAAATAATTATCCGACCACCAAACATATCTTTCCCTCTCCTCCCTTCTCAGCATTCCGAATCAGCTGTTTCCTCCGTGCCTCCCTGGTTTATTCCTCCATTACCACCAACAATTGCTCTCCTGCCCCCGACACTTTCCTGTGCCAGCACAGGAGATGCAATACCTTCCTTTCACCTCCTCCCATACCACTGTCCAGCTCCCCAAACACAGTTTTGAAGTGAGACAGCGATTTATGTGTACCACCACCAATGTAGTTTGCATTTGCTGCCCACAATGTGGTCTCTTCTACATTGCGGAGACCAAACCCAGATTGGGCGACCAATTTCCCAAACACCTCCGTTCTATCTGCGAGCACAACCCTCTCCCTTCCACTCACACTCTGACCTCTTCATCCATGGTGTCCTACACTGTTCCAATGAGCCACAGGGCAAGCTCGAGGAACAGCACCTCATTTATTTGCTAGGGACCTTACAGCCCTCTGGCCTCAATATTGACTTCAACAATATCAGACCATAGTAGCTCACCTCCCCCTCTTCTGTGACCATTACCACATCATCTGAGTCCCAGACACACCTTTTCTCTATCTGGTCTGCCTGTTTTGTTGCAATCCCTCCCCCTTTGTTTTGCATCATTAACACATCTTTAGCCCATCATCCCGTCCTCTACCCCATTTTCTCCTTTGTCTTCCTTGCCCTGCCCCCCCCCCCCCCCCCTCTCTGTTAGTCCTTAAAAGCCTCTCCCTCGCAACATGCCCCAGTTCTGACGAAGGGTTGTGGATCTGAAACGTTGACTTACTTTCCTTTCTCCATAGATGCTGCTTGACCTGCTGAGTGTTCCCAGTGACTTATGTTTTTGTTTC